AGAACTGTGTGTGTTGTGTAATGTTTTGTTTCTTTTCGTTGACACTCTGCTATACATGTGTTTGTTAGCAAAGGCAGTCTAAGAAATTCACTTGGAGCAGGTGTGGAGAGGTTTGTGATGGTCCTTAGTGTGACTGACACTGTGTAACCATTGAGTGTGACCTGGCCAGCAAGAGGAAGCTTTTGTCTATTGGGTTAGTAGAATTTCCTGTATGATTGGTCTTCCTACAGCACCCTACTGAAGCAGATCAATGGTAACAGGAAACAACACAATAGATAAGAACAGCCCAACCCGCACTTGAAAGACAATGTGTCATGCTGTTAGTGTCACGACCCCTATCTTTGGTCTCCGCTAGGGTGCAAGTTTATGTTGTGAAAGATGGAGAGGTTAGTGCTCAAAAGAACACTAAAGCATTAAAAGCCTTTCCCTGAGCGGCGAGAAGGGCTGACTCAGAGAGACTGCAGAAGGACTAAGCAGTAGGGCTTTCTCTGATCTAGGGACTGGCAAGCCATAGAGAAAAGCTAGATACAGTCTGTTTTATTATTTACGATCTGTTTTCATTGAAATAATACCTAGCTCTTATATTGCACTTTTCAGCAGTAGATTGCAATGCATTCACAATCTTTTTTAAGGAGCTGTTTGATTACTACTGTTATTGCCACCAGAAAGAATGGAATTACAGAGTCTGGACATAAGTCACAGCTGATACACAGGGGACTGCATCGTAAGGCCCGGTCCGACAGTGAGAGAATTGTATGAGAAGCGACTGCTCCAATGAATGAATGACCACTATGAATGACAATGAACAGTCATTGTGCCAGGAAAGATTCTGAGAATCATGTGATAGCCTGGTGATTAGAATGCTCACCATGGGTGTGGGAGATCCAAGTCCAAGTCTGTGCTTCAGTGATTATTTATACAAAGGGAAATAGCTTCAACAGGGGACACACCCCTCCCCCACATGAGGATATCCCATAGGCCAGAGGCTAGGGTCTTCTCCTGGAATGTGGGAGACCCACGTTTTACAGATGATGGGAGGAGGGACTTGAATCCAGGTTTCTGACATCCTCAGGGAGAGCCTTAACCACTGAGGCACCATTTACAAAACTTCGAGCTAAGTCCTCTCCCCCACCCCCCCAATTTGTTTTGTTGCATATTTCGGCAAATAGACGTGACTGGAAAACTTGGCCTAGCTCTAATATTGCATTACTGTTGTCAGATAAAGGTGGATATAAATGATGGTGTTTCCAATGCGGCTGGTGGTGATAAATGGTTCAGAACACCTTGATCCTCATCTTGTACATCAGATAGGTGCAAGGGCCTGCCTGCCTATGTGATTGTGGCCTTCCAGGCCAGCTGTGTTCCACAGACTAACCAACCAACCTCATGAGTCAAACTTGTGTCAGCAGCCACTGGATCTCTCTGTACACGCTAGTGAAGCTGGAACTCACTCCTGGAAGAGATCAAGAACCTCAGCACTTTTAGACAAAATTGCTAAGCCCATTTCTTCACTCTAGCCTTTTTGTAACACGCACCACAGATACCATCTGCTCACCCCATGGGAGAAAGAAAAATATCTTACGTGTGCACTTCATAAATATGAGCGGTACTTAACTATCATGGTAGCAGCCTAAATCAGTAGCAACTCCACTGACCCATCTAATGTTCCATTAGAGTTCCGTTGCCACTTCTACTGCTGCTTTTGTCTTCGCTTATTTTGATGCCAGTGGAATTATTCATGATTTACACTTACATAACTCAGATCAGGATTTGGCCTGTAAAACTTAAAATGCTTGGCTTTTTAACATAAGACTCATTTTTATTTTAGACACACACATCCTCACATGCCCGCAAACTTGACAAACAATGGAGCATTACTATCAATGTAAGCTATGGTCTTCCAGCCGTGCCCACTATAAAAAAAAGTAACTGAGTTTTCTTTCACTTCCAGATAGGAATGTCCACTAAGTGGAAACTTAACTCCAAGTGGGCAGTGGATGTTTTGAGTACTACGTTCTATGACTTCAGAATGTAAGAGGTGGTACTACTGTTAACTGCAATTAGTTAATAAAGTCCGCCTTTGTGACTCAAGGGGAAAAACTTTCAAAAGTGCCTAAAATTGATGTTGTTGCCTAAACCCCATTGAGCTTCAATGATACTTAGGTCATGTCTACGCACACACAAATTGTACCAGTATAGTTATACTGCTAAATCCCACTAGTGTGGATGCAGTTATATTAGTATAAAAGTATTAATACAGATCTAGCTTCCTCTGCTTCCCATAAGGAACTACACACAAAATAAAGGACAGTGCAATATTAGAGATGCAAGTTCTCAAGCAGCAGGACAGAAGCTTTAGTGATGCACCTCCCATTATGTAAGTTAAGTTTGCGCTTGCTATAACAAAGTGAAAGGGAGAAGGTATGGGAAGAGTATATGACTGTTAACCACTCACTGGAGTAACTTTCACAGTTGTTAGATTAATAAGAAAAGCAAAGGACCAAATCCTCAGCTACCTGCAAATCAAGTAGCACTATTGAAATCAAGTGGTGTTACATCAGTTCACACCAGCTAAATCTGTGACCCAAAGGGTGTGAGTGAGTTGTTTTGGTGAAAGAACCTCTCCAGAGTGGGGAGATTCTGTTGCTCCTAACAATGCCTCTGATATTCTTTGTTTAAAAACAACAAATTAAGCTGAAGCTGGTACCTTTTTGTCTGCCATAATAATAATTAAAAAAAAATCAACTCATCTGCAGACATGTGACATGCCAATATTTTCATCAGCTGAAGAGCCATTAGCAGTTGCCTTTAGTACAGTTTTCCCTCCCCCTGTCCCAAGCTGCTATAGTTTGCTGCATAGTATATACAGGCCTAGATTTCACAAAGCCAGCCTCTCTTGCAGTCGCATGATGCCTCAGCCCTCATGAAAATGTACCCACCACCTACAGCCACAACAAGGCTCCAGAGATTGGCTGTATAAAGGTACCAAGACTTCAGACCTTAACAAATCTTCTATCAAAGAAGAGAGGGAACCCACATTTAGAACCTTCTAGGGCATAATGGGATATAATTCAAATGCTTTTAACTTTATTTTAAAAAGGGAAAGAATTTTATAAGCTGTTTTTCAAAAACCACCTAGACTCTAAGAACTTTTTGAAAAATGCAAGAGATTTGTGAAACTTCAAACTTCTCCCCCCTCAACATCCTTGTTTAAGCTCCCACTCCCCTACTCTTCACCCCTCTTCTATTTGTTTTGCCTTGCTGAATCATCAACAGCTTCCATTATGTGGTGTCTGGTAGCTCTTGTTTAGAGCTACATCACCAATCTGCACGGCAGAAGAACAAGGAGTGAAGTCTACCATCCTTCCACATTTGCTGCCAAATTACAACACAAAAATCTTTGAGAATGCAAGGGCATTTAGCTGTACTTATTGTGGCAGAACACAATCACTGTAAGGTTGCCACTTACTACAAAAAAGGCACTTGTCAAGATTTTTGAGGCACCAGGCTTAAAGCTTTGCATTGAAAGAAATAAGGAATCGGTAACTTACACCAAACTATTGAAAGTTTTAAAAATGAGAATAAACGACATCTCATCTGTAGTGTAAGGTTTTGTTTTTAATCAAGGGCCAATATAAGCCACAAGAACAAAACTTGATTAATTTGTACATATCATCATCAACCCACGATAAAATAAGGTCTATAAATATAGTTTAGTTGTATTTTTTTAATAGTTGGTTCAGGCATAATGTAAATACTTGCCACTTATTATAAGGCTGTATCAACTACTATAAAATTATAAGCACAGATATAAAAAGTCTCATTTTCCCCACACAGAACTGCAACAGCATTGTATTACACTTCTGGATCCCAGAAAACACAGTACATAAAATATTTTGGCATCCTCTCCTATGCCAACAATTCACTGTGACTGTTGGAGTATTAAAAACATTGTGCTTCAAAACACCTTAAACATTAAAAAGAAACACAATCATGTAAGTTTGAAAGCACATTATTTTCTTAGCTCATCACTGAAACAAATTTTCAGTAATTTAATACAGTAGTGCTTATTTCAATATCCAACATTCCTCTTTACAACCATGAGTAAGGCTACGTTTTAGTCACGAGTATTTTTAGTAAAAGTCATGGACAGGTCACTGGCAGTAAACAAAAATTCACAGCCCGTGACTTGTCCATGACTTGTACTATATACCCTTGACTAAAACTTGGGTGCTGGGGGAAAGAGGCTGGCAGACTCCCTACCCAGCTCCGCTCAGGTCCCGGAAGCAGCCGGCACGTCCCTGTGGACCCAAGGCAGAGGCACGGCCAGGGGGGCTCCGCGCACTGTCCCCACCCTGAGCGCCTGCTCTGCAGCTCCCATTGGCTGGGAACCACTGCCAATGGGAGCTGCAGGGGCAGCTCCTATGGGTGGAGGCAGCGCATGCAGCCACCTGGTCGAGCCTCCACCTAGGAGCTGGACATGCCAGCCACTTTCGGGGAGTCCCCCCGAGGAAAGCGCCACCCAGAGCCCTCACCCACTCCGCACCCCAACCCCCTGCCTCAGCCGGGAGCCCCCTCCAACAAACTCCTGCTGCTGCTGGGAGAGGAGGGGCATGGTGGCCCAAGAATGCCCCAGCAGCGGTCGGTGCGGCTGGCCCGGGGGCCGCCCGAGTTGCTTAGATGGCCCCAAGGCCAGCTGCACATGCCGCTGCAGAAGTCACAGAGGTCCCAGAAAGTCACGGAATCCGTGACTTCCATGATAGACTCACAGCCTTAACCATGAGTACGGAGCTCTTCTCTAGTGCAGGCCTTACAACGTCATGGTAAATTGTTATTTACTAATCAGTAGCAAAGCCCTTATTCACAAATGTTGAGAATAATCTGTATTATGGACAATATAGAGTTCAAGGAAAACAGGCTCTGGAGATAACAATGTGAAGAATTTCAAACTGCTTTAAAATGATCTCTCTGAATTTGTTTTTGCCTTTTCAATGCCAGGATTTTTTTTTTTTTTTTTGAGTCTGAAGTAGATTTTCTGTTAATTTTTATTATTAAAAAAAGCTTGTGGTAGCTTTCTTATTGACTATGCAGTAGTCAGCACCACAAAGTAATTTGGAGGTTATGTTCCTGGATTAAGCTCCCTGTAGCTACATTGAAGAACTCTCAGTCTGCCTGAGTGAGCTGGAATCTCTTGTTAAGCCATGAGAATATATTTTAAATCTATGCTTTGTCTGTATCAACAAAAAACACTTAACCTCTGCAAAGAATCAACAGGACTGTTTAAAATAATATACAGGAGCTTTTGAACTATCACGGGATTAGTTCTCCTGTGCACACACATGCATTCATTTCCCCAAAGACAGAACTCAGCTTCTCAAGTGTGCAAACTGATAAAGACACAATGTTCCAGTCAATACATCTCTTGCTCTAAATCGGTTAACTGTCCCATTCTCCATTATTGTGATCGCTATTTTCATCCTCTTCAGAGTCAGCAGACACTTTTTTAATTCTCTGGATGGCTGCCTTTATGCTTCTCTCCAGTTCACTGTCGGATCCTTTACTGATATCTTTCTTGAGATCTTGATTCACTTTCCTTAGCTTAACTCCTTGCCGTATAGCAGAGAGGATGCTGTCTTTTACAGAGGCATTTGAAGGTGACAAACTGGGCTGTTCCACTTTACGAAGAAGAACTTCACCACGTCTTAAAGAAGCCAAAACTTCATCCATGGATCCTATGACAGATCAAATCAAATTATTATTCTCAGAAGGACAAAAATAGCTAGAGTGTGGGATATGAAACCCTGTAAGAGTGTTTACATTATTTTCTTTTTTCTCTAGCAGAGATTCACGGAAAAAGTACTGTCAGTCCTGGCATAGATTGTCATGGGCTTCAACCATGTCACTCACAATGTTTGGAATTGGGCAGCTAAAGCTCTTGAGTTCAGAATCCAGCCCCCTTCATCAGTACACAAGCTCGTGTGCTGTGCCTGAGAAGTAATTATACACAAAGGAGGACACATTTTTCATTACAGTTTTACATGTCTACATGTTTTAAAAATAATATTGCTGAACACAAAAAAGCTAGCACACATTCTGTATTAGAACCAATCTAGCTTTCCCCCTGTTTGCTTAGATGCCTGCTGTGACTGTCAATTGTGTTTTTCCTCAAGGAAGATTTAAAAAAAAAAAAAAGAGAGAGAGATGAAGGTTACAGCATAAGGGCTAGATCCTCCTGCACTTGTGAAGGCCGTGGGAGTATCACCATTGACCCAGTGGGAGTTGGATCAGGTTCTAAGCAAGCAGGGGGATCTTTTGTGTGTTAATTTTGAAAATAACTCAGAGCTGAGTGAAAACATGGTTTAAATGCTGTTAGTTTCTGAACTTAAGAATCACACTGTGCAAGTTTCTGGCTACATGCTTCTCTTCTGTTTTCTTAGTACTCTGGCATCAGCTCATGTTTCTCTTCTTTTGTTGGACTCTTTGTTGATGACCTCAGACTCAATCAGCAAGGAGGAGGTCACCTTGTCTAGTACTCAAAAGAGGCAGTCTCCGTACATCAATAGGCCCAAGCCCTCTGCTGAGCTGCTCACAGTCGGGAGTCCTTCTTCATGTGCACTACAATGAAGGCTGTGTGACTAATACTTTACACACTGTACTGAGAATGTAATACAATACTGAACTCTGTGCAGTCCTCTGGGACACGGAACTGCAGATGCCAGGTAAGGACTCAGCAAAAACTAATTTCACTTAGTATACATCTTTCTAAGTCAAATTTAAACTAAGTCTGCAGATGAAGACACACTGCCTGATTACAAAGGCCTTTTAGACGGATAATGTTAAGACAGGTGCTCACTTAAGTGTTAGCATTTTAAAAGGAAAGTACGATAATATTTTAGAGCTAATTTGTGCGAGTCCAAATATCATGTGTGCTGCATACAAATCTATCAGAATACTGTACTCTTCCAAAATCTGAATATATTGTATGAAAGCCTTCCATATTAAGCATCTGTGCAAGCGTATTTTACATGCAAAGGTTTTGAATAGCTAAGTGGAGCTTCATAAACAAGTTGCTACAGGATATTTTAGTGCGACCTTATCAGAATGCCCTGGTGTTCATTTGGATACTATTACAGCAATTAAAATCCTGGCTTTTTTCTTTAAAGAAATACAAGATTAAACTTCAAAGCTACAACTTTTCTGAATTTTCATTTTTGGAAGTATCAGAACGTATAGTTCTGAGTGGTTAAAGCTGGAAAACCCAAGGCTTTGGTTATGCAAAAATAGTAGCATATTATTGTTATTGTGAATGAATTTTAGCAAAGCAGTTCCTATAGAAAAAGATAAAAATTCTGCTCTTGCACACAATTCTTGATGCCAACTACAGCCACATGCATGCATCCATGGGCAGCATTTATCCCATGACCTTACTGATTGAAGTCTTACCCTACTGGTCTATGGACCTGCAGCTAAAACTACTTTTCACAGCACCTTGGAAGAACTGAAGACACTGAACAGGCAGTCCTGCCTGTGGTGAACTGAGTGATTACAATGGTTGGACAGATGTATTGTGAATATTTTGAAAAAGGAAAGGTGTGCACCACATTTAAGGAATCGCTTCACTCGCAGTGCAGTGCCGCTCTGTAAAGCGTCATTGTAGAATTGCTATCTTCCTACTTACATCTGTCCCCTGGGAGTACTCAGAATATCATATCTACTTACTTTGGTAAGCCTGTTCGCAAGAAGTGGCCAACACAGTTATGGGAGGTTTGCTGAGTTCTGTTCTCATACATATGTAAAAACTGTTAGTTAAGTTCCAATGGCAAAAGTCAGCCTTTGGTTACACCTGTGCAACCCCATCAAGGGGGACAATGGTGTCACAGAGCAAAACTTGGCTGCAGGAACTTTTCCTGTGACCAATGAATGATCTAGAAAAAACAAACAACTTGACTTTCAGACCCTGAGCGGAGTTTGTACAGAACCATTTACAGTAACTTTTACTTGGAAGCCAAGCAAATCTCATCTGGTCACACAAACATGGAACCCCATAAGCTCAGAGTTTGGGTAACATCAGAGTACAGTAAACATTCACATTGCATAAACAGTCAACATTAAAGTGCAGGATTACTAGGAACACAAAGCTGCCCAATGCTGCAGTCTGCCTGAGTATGTCACGAATCTTAACACACACATCTCTTCTCCTAAGATTATGGCAAGAGTTTGTTCGGGAGAAAAGGGTTCTGCCCAACGTACGATGCTAGAAGTGCCACTGTACATCCAGAACCACTCCCCAGACGTCAATGGGAGTTGGGTTCATAAGAAAGGCCGGCGCAGGTGCTGAATTTGGATCATTATATCTGAACTGCAGAACTGGCAATAAGAATTGTTTACATTAATTTTTAAAAGCTCTTAATAGTTACACCTCTGGCATGGGAAGCGAGAGCGGAACTGTCATTCTAGCAGAGACTAAAGCCAACATCATTTTCAAGTAACCAGAGATCTTGGGGGCCCAGCTTTTGACAGTGATTTCCAGAAAGCGCTGATCACCCATCCTCTGAAAGTCAAGTCCCTTTGAGATGCCTCAAAATCACTAGTCACTGCTGAAAATCTTGGCCTGTGTGGACAAGTGCAGGAGAAACGCATATATTGACAGCTGGTTCATTGAGAGGTCAATGCTAATGGCCCTTGTCTCTGGGAGCAGAATTATTGAAGATTTTCCTAGCCCACAGCAGAGAGAGTAGCTGTGGAGAACCTCTGCTTCCTGTGACAATACTCCTTACTTCAAGAGGGTGGGCAAGAGGTCATAATACCAAAGGAGGAGGAAAAGATCAGTCAGCATTAGTGTATTTACCTGTATAATTATTTACAGATCTTTTGGATGAGTCATCTAGTCTCCGTGTTGCAGCACTTTCTGTAGAGCCTTCGCTGTTGAGGGGAAGCAGCTGATCTTTGGTTGTCACTGCTGTCTTTAAGGGCAGAGGCTGGCAGACTGGCAGTGGTGGTGGTGGTGGTGGTGGTGGAGGAGGAGCAAGTGGTAGAGGTGGTGGCATAATCAGCCCCTCATTATGCTTCTGTGGCTTTGGATCATTAGCAGGAACAAAAATCTGGACAGGGATGTCTGCTGGGGTATTCCCACATGCTGCTTTTAAACCTCTGGCTTGTGCTGGCCGAGTGCTTTTCAGCTGCTTTGGGGATGGACTAGTTATTGATACAGGCTGAGGGGACAGCGCTGGAGTCTGACGGGAAATACCTTGCAGCTGCTTGGGGCTGCGAGGCTGCGACCGAGATGTTTTTAGCACAAACTCAGCTGGACACTTCTGCAAAGAAAATGAGAAGCCAAGAGTTAACATCCCCATCATATTGGTAAAAACAATATATGCCAAGGAAAAGACTGCATACTGGAGCCAATACCAGACACACAATCCATGCAAGAGGAACACCTTGTTTTTTGATTTGTCACACTTTGGGATAAAGCAGGGAGGTGATTAAAGAACAAACATTGTTGCAATTGAGATGGGAAGCCTTGGGAGATGGGACCACAGTCAGGGTGCGTCTCCTCTCTTGACTTAATGATGTTGTGTCCCTTTACAACTGTGGTTCTCAACCAGAGGTACACGTACCTCTGGGGGTACGCAGAGGTCTTCCAGGGAGTACTCAACTCATTTAGATATTTGCCTAGTTTTACAACAGGCTACATAAAAAGCACTAGTGAAGTCAGTACAAACTAAAATTTCATCCAGAGAATGACTTGTTTATACTGCTCTATATACTATACACCAGGGGTCGGCAACCTTTGGCACGCGGCTCGCCAGGGTAAGCACCTTGGCGGGCCAGGCAAGCACCCTGGCGGGCCGGGCTGGTTTGTTTACCTGCCGCGTCCGCAGGTTCGGCCGATCGCGGCTCCCACTGGCCACGGTTCGCTGGTCCAGGCCAATGGGGGTGGTGGGAAGCAGCAGCCAGCACATTCCTCGGCCCACGCCACTTCCCACCGCTCCCATTGGCCTGGAGCGGCGAACCGTGGCCAGTGGGAGCCGCGATCGGCCGAACCCGCGGATGCGGCAGGTAAACAAACCAGCCCGGCCCGCCAGGGTACTTACCCTGGCGAGCTGCATGCCAAAGGTTGCCGACCCCTGCTATACACTGAAATGCAAGTTCAATATTTATATTCCAATTGATTTATTTGATAATTGCATGGTAAAAATGAAAAAGTCAGCCATTTTTCAGTAATAGTGTACTGTGACACCTTTGTATTTTTATGTCTGATTGTGTGAGCAAGTAGTTTTTAAGTGAGGTGTATCTTGGGGGTACGCAAGACAAAACAGACTCCTGAAAGGGGTACAGTACTCTGGAAAGGTTGAGAGCCACTGCTTTACAACACTAGTGCTTGTCACAGGTCCTCTGGCCCTCCTCTCTCAACCTGGTGCTAACTTATACAAGTGGACTAAAATAACCACTTTGATAGCAAAAGTCCTTGCTATGGAAACTAATGTGGGTGTCACAAACAAGAGGTTTTGTCTTTCCTGTAAAAATAAGCAGACGTGCTTACAGTTTTAAAAGGAGTGAGACGTAAATTTAGACACAAGAGCCTGATTTCCAGCCTAGCCTCCCACAAGTGGCGGAAAGGAATATGCTCCAGGTATTCTAATTAAACAATTTGATTTGCAAAATGGGTAGGACTATCTTCTCTTTGCTAGGTTTATGTAACCAGAGGCAAACTAGTGAAAAGGGTAACAATGTGACATGGTTCCATCTGGAGGGTGAGAAGATGAGATTTCAGGTTCTTATAAAAAAAACTCTACTGATTAGCTTTCTTAAGTAAAAACAAAACAAAAAACCCAACAAAGTGAGATGTACCTTAATTCACTCTTAACTGCAAGAATGTGTGTGTGTGTACATATATATGTATACGTTTTATTCTTCACCTCACTCAGCATGGATTATGATGGATTAATTCTTAATGATTTCACTCAGAATTCAATGGTCAGAAATGCTAAAGACCATCCACTACTATCCTATAGACATGTTCTTCTCTCAAATTGTCCATTTAAACACTGAAAACCAGGGGTTTAGAAGTCCTGAAAATACAACTCAGTCTTAAAACAGTTTACTGTGCTTCTGCATACTAGTCATTGAACAGAATAGAGGTATAAGTAATAGCAAACATTTATAGCTTCAGTCGTGTCCTATGTCAATTGTGGTTACCATCACAAGATACGCAAGACATTTTGGTCCAGATTTTCAAACCCACATGCCCACTTTTGTGTGCCCAGTGCATACACACAAATCAGGCATATGTGCGCAGCAGAACATGAAAACCAAATATTGAGATGCATAAGTGCCACATTTCTTCTTTGCTTAACACCTGAATTCTCCACAACTGAATCAACTTTACTGTCTTCACTAAGGATCAGGTCTCCACTCCAGCTGCCAAATGCCCACTGGCATGTGTGGGAATGACACATGCGTCTTGAGGGCGGCTTAACCCTCCCCATATATCAAGCACCTGAAGATAATTATAAGGCTATTCCTTAAGCGAAGATGCAGATAAATGATTGTGGAGGTTTTCTTAGGGGGTGGGAGGAGGAAAGGAAAAGCTGTTGCCTTAAATTCTGTTCATAGTAAGCAAAAGTCACTGCAATACTATTCTGACCCTTTCTGGGGTAAAGTACTAGAGTCCACAGTAGTGTTCCAAAAGCGTCTCAATGATATTTAAAGAATGTTGTAAAGGACTAGTGACTAAACAATATTTAAGTGGAAGGACTCATTCCCTCCCCTATCCACTCACATTAATCCTATTACTTACATGGCATCTTCATAGTCATACATCTCTTTTTAAAATGTTAGTACATTATTTACAGTACTTGCCTCTTTGAATGTTTTTAGCCTCTCCAGTGTTTTCTGGCGTTCCTGGCTTATCCAAGCTTTTTTCTTCTTCTCTTCCTCTTTCACCTTGTCTCTTTTCTGCATTTAAAGACAAGCAAGTCAAGGTGCGTGCATGCAAATGTGCAGCTACACAGTCTCTGCAAGAAATGTTCCTTTTTGGTACTCACTAGCTGGATGCTGTGATGCTGATGGAAGCGTTTTGTGTTTTCCTGTGCCTGCTGTAGTCTATACCGGTGGCTCTCTTCGCACTGATCCTGATGGAACGGCATAATGCATGCAAACCTTAGTCAGTTCACTTTAAAAGTGTGCGTGTGAAATCTGTGCTATTAAAGCAGTTGAAAAGTCCATTACATAGGGCCTTCCCTTGTCCTGCCATGTACGAGTCCCAAGTTCAAGAGACAATGCATCAGGCCCTAAGAATGGAAGTCTGTAGGAATCTTTGCACTGACTTCAGTGGACTTTGGATCAGGGTCTTAGTCTTTCACTACTCTAGGCTGGCAGACTGGGCTTAGGAATGCTACAGAGGAAGCATGTTCAGCCTTTCATGGGAGGGGACAGCTTACATTGTTTCTCTCCCCTGCAATCCATTCAAAAACAGCACTGACAAGCACTGAAGGAACTGTACCCACCTGGCCTCAGCCAGAAGGATGGTGGAGATACAGGAAAGAAAGTGGGCACTATAAGTTACATGGAAACTCCCTCTATTCCCCTCCACTTGATGCCCCTCCTCCCGATATTTCTTTATATATAAAATTACAGATGAATCATGCACATATAGCACGGGGAACGTTTAACAGTACAATACTCTTCAACAGGAACAGGTCAGAGAAGACACAGGTTCATTGTTTTCTGCCCGAGTCCCCATTCAGTCATTTATTTGTCACTGTCCACATGGAGGATTTTATCCATGCGGTCGGTTAGCATTCACAAATCAGCTGGGGTTTGGCTTCAGTGTTAAACAACAGAAAGAGAGCAATTAAGTGAATGAAAACAGAAGCAAAATACGTTCTCTGCCAAGGAAGTGGTCACAAGAGACAGAATGACTGACTGTTCTCCAGATGTATCTCCAATGAGATTCTTCTAGCTCTTCTAGGAAAGCTCAGTCTAGAGGGGGGGTAGGAAGCTGGACAGATAGGCCAAACTCTGTTTTCTGAATTTAGTTCGGTGTGGTTACATGGGTGTAAACGAACCAAATGCATCCCAGCAAGGGATGGGCTGCCAGGGCCAATTGTGATCTCATGGTCTTTCCACTGTGCTGCTCTCACTGCAACTAACACAAATACGAAACAGTGAGTGAACAAAAAACCCACCGAAATGAAAAGGCTGGACAGATTTGCAGCAGCAACACCCTTCCGAATGACCATCGCCCTCAAAGGTAAAGAAGGAACCATGGCACTGCATTTGTTGTTTGTACCTGCAGCCTTCTACAGTCTGGGCCAGATTCTCTCCTGCCCTTCAGCTGCTTTCTGCCATACAGCTAGGGAACAAACAGCCCTAAACCTGGCACAGCCAGCCAAGGGAGGATTCTCCCCCATGTAGGTGGATCCTCTGGTGGCACAGAGCCAGTGTTACTGCTCTTAGCCCATACTCCTTCCATCTGCTGGCAAGGGATCTGGCTGGGACTTCACTGCACTCTAGTAACCCCAGGCGTCTATCAATCCCTTGGGGTCAGCGGCAGCCAGTGTAAGTTAGAGCAACTCTAATGTATCATGGGAGACTGTCCCAGAGCTGACCCAGGATCAGTGGAGCATGAAGCTGTCTCAAACCCCCTCCTCCTGACAAGGACCAGTACCTAGTCACGTACTATCCTGTATGCTCCTCCCAAAGCTTCCCTCATTGTTTTCCATCTATTCCTCAGCAAGCAGGATTTGTGGCATGAGCTAAAGAAACTGCACAGCTCCAGGAGCACATTTACTTTTTTGTTCCTGAGGTAGGCTCGTCTCGCACAGATAGTCCCACGTTTAGCCTCCAGCCGCTGAGTCTTCAGCCTCAGCTTAGTGATTTCTGATGAGCAAGCACAATGTTGTCCCACTGTCTGCTCAATGACCTGGAGCTCCTCAGGATTTTCACAGGTATCATAGTAAACAACTTCATCCTGTTTCTCTAGAAAGGCAGTCGGCATTTAAAAAAAAAAAAGAAGAGAGGACTCCAGAGTTCCTTAAATGTTTAAACACTTCGAGAGCTAATGACACCTTAAAAGCCATTGAAGCCAATAGGTAATTTGTTAGAACAATTTTAAACAGAGCGGATTACTCTTACATATATTCAGCTTCATCCTGCAAACACTTACGCACACACGTCACTTGACTCCCGTGAGTAAAGTTACTCATGTTTGCAGGATCAAGCTTATGCTCCCACTCTTGCCATCACTTAGTTTCCTATTTTAAATATCTTCTTTTTTAGGATAACGTGTATAACTTTTCATTCACCGACTGGAGTCTCGTGGCAAACTAACAAGCGTCATGAGACAAATACTAAGCAGTTTATTCTACTATTAAACAACAAGGGACAACATTGTTTCACTGGACGCTGTACTTACAAATAATGGAGAATACTTAACATGGATTGGTATGAACATGAGAAATGTCTAACATTGTGTGAGAAATATATACAGTAGTTTGGAAAAACAACAAGAACACATCAGTACTTCAGAAGCATCAAATTATTATCACTTCTTTTTGGTTTTAATATTGTGTGTTTTGCAGCTTTACCGTAATTCTGCTGCAGTTCGACACTTTCAATATTAGGACCCAATTGTTAATTGGGTCTCCTTAATTGTGACACAGTCACATCAGTTTGTACACACAAATCAGGTAATTGTAGGACCAGAGACACACATGCACATTCAGTTACTTGTTTTATACGTGCAAAAGAGCTGCACACACATATCAGAGAGACAGTTAAGAAGGTAAGTTGCCAATCATAGAATCTCAGGGTTGGAAGGGACTTCAAGAGATCATCTAGTCCAACCCCCTGCTCAAAGCAGGACCAACCCCCAGACAGATTTTTGCCCCAGATCCCTAAATGGCCCCCTCAAGGATTGAACTCTGAGTTTAGCAGGCCAATGCTCAAACCACTGAGCTATCCCTCCCCCCAACTTTTTTTGTGTGGCCCTTAATGTCTATTTATCAAAAAGTATTACCAAATTTGCTTAGTAAGGCAACAAAACAAACGTTACTTCAGCACCAAGAAAATCCAGTAATGCTCCCGTGGCATCAAGAGCCAAGTAGGTGTGATTTACTTTTTTATAGGATGTGTGCACCTCTGCGTTAGAACGTTTGGCTTTCTGCTTTTCTTTAAATGATGATTTTCTTTCTTACCTTTTATCTGTCTCCTTAAAGTGTCCAGCTGTGTAATAAGTAGCATTTCTTCATGTTTAAGTATCTCAAATTGTACATCATACAATTCCAGTTGGGTTTCATAATACTCTATTTCCAGCTTCTCTACTAGAGCTATATTCTCCTCTTGTTCATCAAGGTTTTCCATCTGCATGTTTCCGAACAAGAGGAAAAAAAACAACAAAGAATCAGGGACAGAATACACACAGACACACTCCAAGGTTAGCTTTATACAACTCAGATGGAAACAGCAGGAGTGAAAACAACAGACTGACTACTTAGTCATTTCAACTGAGAACAGATGGTTGTTTCTAAAGGTGGCCAGCAAAAGGGAGACATGAGACATAGCTCTGGGCCCTTTTTTGGGCACTTATTTATGAATGAATGAGGACCACCTGAAAGAACTGTGTGCAATATATAAATAAACTCCTAGCTGAAAGCCCGTGCTGTTGCATGGGTAGAATTTGTCAAATTGTGTGTAAAAGAAAGTTGAAAATGGCTGAGAACTTAAAAATTGGACAGTAACAAACCACAAATCCCAGTGGTGATTAAATCTGGGATAGTCTGAACTAAAAGAGCTCTCAGCCATGCTTGTAGCGGTTTCCATTGCTTCACACTGATTCAACAGACATTTTAGGTTTCAGAGAGACACAGTGACAATCCTGGAATCTTATTACATACATCAAAAAATCCCACCCACCTAAAACAAGCTGGGGAAAAAAACTGTTTATCTCCATTAGTAATTAAAATCGTGTCTTCCCAGGACAACTCTCTATGGCAACTGGAGAGCTAGAGAAATGATGACATCACAAGTTCCTTCTTTAACTCCAATGCCTACTAAACATAGCTGCTCTGTGTGTAGATCTAGGGGACATGACTGGGCACAGTCACCTGCGAAAATTCTGACCACAATGACACATGCTTAGCTGCCAGAGTGATGGACACAACAAATGCTTTAGACAGACATGGTTGGTTTTCTGAAGCAGAAACTGAAAGGGGTTAGATAGAACCTCATTAGCCAGGAGTTCCTGTTAACCATTCATTTAAAGAAAAAAATCTCTTAAGGCCTCCTGCAAAACATATCAAAGTCAAGGTGAGTCTTACGATCAGGTCCTTAAAAAACGAAGTTTTGAATTTTAAAGGTCTGTACATGATCTCCAGTCACAAGGGCCTGTGTCACATTGCTTGTTTGGACATGCATGTGCAGCATTTGATTTTACAAGACAGAATCAAGATCAAGGACTGAAACCCAAAGTCTGTGTTATTTCAAAATGAAATACAACAAAAATGGCCAAACAAGTGCTATGAATTAGTGCTCCACACACTGATCAGAGATAATACAATAGTAGTTAATTATTTCCAGTGGTCTGTTGTGGATTTTACTGATGAAAAGCTCTGTCCAATAAAAATACCACCCGGTATGCATGACTCTGCATCACAAATATTTTTTTAAATTAATAGAATATTGTGCCGTTCATAATTCCTCCCCCGTAATAATGCTAACAACAGTTCTCCACTATGCAGAAATCTATTATAAAGGACCTTTTATAAAACACAAATGCACTGGTCTTAAGAACAACTAGAGACAGTGTAGTATATTACACTTGGAAATAAAATAAAAATCAGAGAATTGTAGTAGTAGTTAGAGACCGTATCATTTTGAATTTTTATATTATGCAAGGCACAAAATTTCCCATTTCTGATTCAGTGCTATTAATATATCCCAAATTATTGTAAGTTATTCCTCTCTGAAAATACCTCACTTCTCAGTGTTAACATTGAAAAGTGAAAGTTCTTTTAAAAAGGTAAAAACAACACTTTAATTTGTAACTTTTTTCTAAGCACTCCTCTTCCCCTATCCCATGCACACTTGGTGGGGGAGTAGTAATAAAAAAAAGGGAGAAGGTGTGCATTTCTCCACAATTTCAAAACAAGAAGTTTTGAAAATATCAAAAGGGGGAGGTGAGCCTTTTTTGTTTCAAATATATAAAAAAAACAAAAAAAAACAAAAACTAAAAATTAAATAAGTCAGGGGAGGGGGAGGTTCCCCCCACAAAATTGTTTGAGGCAACCCTGGTTGGTTTGGTTTTTATTTTTTTTAAACAAAGAAATTTTTCATCACAAATTTTTTAGACAGTTCTACCATTCAGCATAGCACTTCACCACTGAGCGGAAATGGGCCTTTTGACCCTGAACATCTCCCGCTGACTACAATGGGCTTTGGATGAGGTCCTTACATTGGGGTAACAGAAAAGAATTCAAGTCACTCTTTGCTAGGGTCTTACATTTTTCCGGATGTCAGTTCTCTTGTGATTCAGACACAGTTCTCTCGCTCTCATGTGCTGAAGAGTCTCTTTTGCTAACATATACTTCAGGTTTTCTAGTCTTGGAGAAGCAGACGCCCAGGTGGCTTGGCCAAATCTCTTCCGATCTTGTTCCATCTGTTTGTGCATTGCTGCCAGATTAAAGGGTTGCAACAAAGCATCATAAATGCTGTGGCACTAATAACTTTCTTCAGGTCCTACTGAAAGTGGAGCGCATGAACTCTGCATGGTATTAAATATTTTGAGGGAATTACTTATGTATCGACTGTTTTGAATTTATAGGACTAGAAAAGCTGAAATCATTGTATTATAAATAAAGGTCTAATGTTTTGGTCACAAGTTCCAGCATGCACATGATTAAATACAGCATTAAAAAACCCTCTGATTTAATTAGCAGGATGAAATCCTTAATAGTCTGCACCAACAAAAATTAGAGTAAATATTTGTCAGATGAGGTGTTTGTTGAGAAGCTTGTCAGCCGTAAATATCAGGCCCTGTCTACTGCTTTAACCAATGGTGAGGTTTAGACCAATTTAGTCAAACTGGTGCAAGTTATCATGCAGACACTTTTATTACTTATGCTGGACGCTGGCTTGTGCTGGCCCCAGAATTTGCAGGTGGGAGGGGCTGCAAAGTGGTTCAAGGGTGTTCTCTTCCTATCTGCTGTCTTGTACTGAGCACAGCTCAGCCACACTAGGGCATGTGCTTTGAAGTCAACTCTTCAGTGAGTTCTCCCTCATTACCTGCCAGTGCCGTTACAGTTTCTTTGAAGTAGCTCACAGTGATGTCCTGAATGGAGCACACCGCTTCTTCAGCTTGCTCAGTCCAGTCTTCAGCTTCTTTTTGCAAGGCTTCTATCCTTTTAGGGCCCAGCCTCCCAATCTGTAAGGATTTCTACAGAGAGACATGTTATTCTTCAACCAAACGTCAATCACGACAGTGTTGTAACTCAGCCTGTACCATACAGTGGAAATTATGCCAAGGCAGGCCATGACGGCTGTCGTGACCTCTACATCTACTGTAGTGAAGTGAGTCATTACTCATTAATCGAAGCTACCCTATTTTTGTTCTCATTGTCAAAGAGCCACCTTTGTTCTATAACAATAGCTTGAGCATTGCTAGTTAGAAAAACATTGGATTAATTTATTTCTTAAAGTAATGTTAACCTTCCTCTTCAAAAAAAATTACTTCTGTCTGAAAATGTTTATCTGTGACCAAGAGTAACTCAAATATATTCTGTTCTATTTCAGTTACAGCGATAGTCTCTATTTTTTTCTCTCACATGTTTTACTTCACGCATTTGACAAGCACTTTGCACTCTTATCTGTTTGTGAGGCTCTTTCACACAGCAACAGGGTACATGGAAAGATTTAAGAGGCAGGAAAGTGCATTTGTAAAATCCACAAAAATTGGCAGGGGAAAAGGGTGAGTGTAGAACCTGAAAATACTTTAAAAACAATTGAAATCTAGTCTAATATTCCATTTAAGATTTTAACATAAAACAGAACAACTTTTTTTTTTCTTCCAGAGTTTGGTCCGTTAACTGCAGTCTTCACTTATCTCACCATAAATAAAGCAGCACATTGGAAACTGTAACACCTTGTGCATTGATCTTAGACTTTCAGTTTGCAGGCCCAATACGGTGAATTAATCATGATGTTGTAGCCTTAACTCAGCACTACTTTGCTTCTGTTAGTTCCACCTAAGGCATTATTTTAACACTTCTTTAACACTGTATTACAATGAAAAATCAAAGCAATGCATGACTGCTTTCCTTCAAAGTATAATACAATTGCAGGGTACATCAGATACAAAAACACAAAATACTGACATTAGTTGGAATTTTCAAAAGTGAATAAAGAGCACAAGTCCTTTTGAAAGTTAATACAACTGGTGTTCTTTTGTCGCTGAAGTTCCTGTAAACTCAGAATACCAGGAAAAATGCCTCAGAACTGAAGGTTTTTTTGCTTAAAAAAATATATACACACCACCACACCCACAGTGGAGGAAACTAAACAGAGCATTAAGCATTAAGCGGAAGCCAGTGGATGAGATGCTATTCAAGCCTTTACCACATGGATCTTATACAGGCTATTGACAACAAGTCAGCTTTAACTTTGAATGTTTCAGGTTTTTATCGTGTTACTCACAAGTTGATGAACTTGGGGAATAAAGCCAGTGAATATAAATCTTGGACATACTTAAGTAGTTCGGAGCCTAAATTGCACAGGGGGCAGATGGAGTATATCACATGCCAGGGAGTTTGATCTCTCAAAGAAAAACCTACCAGGATTTCCAGTCTGTATAATGTTGCCAATTCTCGCATATCTCTAAACGGCTGCAGTAAATATTGGTAGAATTGTGTTGCCATGGTAACTAATTCCTGATAAGCTTCATCTTCTTCTTCATAAACCTTCATTAAAGCCACCATTGTGTCAGCATTTTTATGCTTCTGTAGAACCTAATGGATAAAAGGTTTGTTAGCATTAGCCGCAGTACGTGCACATTTCTCGGGAGAATGGACAGAAAGAGCACCACTGTTATACCTAGGAGCCTGCATTTTGTGCGTGTGTATAGTCACCCTTGACATATGTGAGTGGAAAGAACCTGTCACTTATCATTAGATGAAATAGTCAAGATTTCCACTTAGAAGAGATGTACTCAAGGCATTCAGCAATTGCACCCAGCAGGAAATATCACCAAGGACAAACTCGTAATGGTACTAATTGCTGAACATTACATTAGAAGAATGACTACACAATGGTGCCTAGGACATTTTACTTTTTATTGTAAAAAATTCTAAATGTTCACAATGATTTTGTCATTGCCTATTATAAATATGGATGGCTTGCACAGTAAGTAGATGAGACACCATGGACACGAAGGACAAAGAAGGTATTCCTTAAAATCTCATTCTTGCATCTTCCCCCCCCCCCCCCCCCCCCCAAGACTACTAAAAGCCTACTAACAAGAAGTGGATTTTGTATCCGGAGATCTGACTCCAGACACAAAGATACAAACTTTCATTTAAAAATAGAAATTCAGATACAGGCTTTTATTCCTGATAACTTCTGGAGCGTATTATAGTTATATTCCTAAAGATGCATGTACCTTTAACTTAATCTTAACTATGCCAATAATATGTATTTTGATTTTTAATTCTTGTGGGGAGGGACTTCCTCTTCCAACATGTCTGTAATGTGCAGCCCAGTCTCATTTAAGGCCTTTAAGTGCTACTGCAATATAAATGATGTTTTTTTCAAAGTTGCAAATTTAATAGAATGCCAATAGATCAGTGAATATTAGTCACTAGTCACAAAATCATTACATTTGCATGACACAATGTAACCATTTATTTTTCTTATTTCAGGATGTTTGGGCAAAAGACCACCAAAGTTTTTAACAGTTTTGTGTGTTGCGAGAGAGAAACTGACAACAGCCCAGTCTGTGTGCCAATTAAGCTGAGACTGGCTCCACAGGGAACCATCATGCTTACCTAGAAGGATGCTGATTGTGATACCAAGCCTCAAAGTGTGGAAAGGAGGAAAAAAGAGGAGATACTCAGGAATGTGACAGGGAAATGAAGTCTTCTATGCAGGGAGGAAAAATAAATGGGAAATGTGGACCTGATCATGTTGCTATTGAAAGAGGTGAAAATCCTCACCCTGTTCTGGCTACTTTATTCTGGGTAAAAGGGGTGGAGAGGCTTCAAAGGGCCCTAAAAGCCTCAGTTTCAGATAGGAGAGAATTGCCCCAATGCACAACTCACATGTGTTGACACAGGAGGGCCATGTTAGGGGCAAGGCCACACAGTACTGCCGAGATTCCAGGCAGCGTTGGGGATCATAGGGCGGCCCCACGAGGCTGTTGTAACTAAAATGGTCCCCCACAAATGACTTGCAGCAATTTAATGATTTGTTTTTTCCATTGTCCAAGCCAAGTGAACAACAAAGTTGGAATGAAAGCACAGTGGTTAGCTTCATTTCTGATTCTCACATACAACGTGGGGGAGATGGAGTTTCATGTCGCTGCTGGTGAACATTTATAATTGGGAGGAAATAATCAGTGAATATTAACGACTACGCATGAGAACATTTTAATTCATCTTCAGTTTTGTAAAACCCTCCACGTATAAGACCTAATTTTCTTTTAATAGAAGTCTGGCGGACTGTTAGCTCTAACGGTTCAGTTGGCATTGCTATAATTGCAGGAACTCCACTTTGGAACAAAAATAGATGAAGTTTCTATATATTTCCATGTGTCTTTGTTGGGCCCATTGTATGCTGGAAAGGAAGGTATTACACTTCTGATTGGTGCAGTAGATAGAAGCAGGATATATTTACTCTTGCCTCTAGTTCCATCTACACTGGCACTACCACCATTAATGGAAGGACTTGGTTATAACCCCAGAGGGATGATTTTGTATTTAAGACAAGTCAGGAGAAGACCATTTTATTGATGGCTCTGCACTAGGTGTCCCTTGGTACCTGGGGGAAAATAACAGAACCTCAACGTCCTTACCTCTAAAATGTGTATAAACAACCCACCTCACAGTTGCATTAATTTGCGAGGCCACTAGAGACAACAGTGCTGTTTAAGGCATCCCCTGACATGGCTAAATTATTGTCCCAGATTGCAGTATAGGTGGAACTGAGCCATGGTTTAATCATGTTCCCAAAGCATGCTAAAGGCCTGCCAAAGTCCAAGGCTGTTGTTGCATGGGTCAGGAACACAGATTTATACAGTGTTCACTCCAACTTAATGGAAAGACTGAGCTGTGCTTTAATTGGGTAAGGAGGCGGATAGGTTGATTCTGGTGATCCAATTACAGTCCTTTTTACTTATTAAAATGTAAATAGCATCTTGTGTAAGGAGCATGCAACAACATTTTGTGTCATTCTGGAAAAAAATTAATTATTGTGTAGATAAACAATGATGGATCAGGTTGTGTGAAACACGAGGCCAAAAGCAGACTGTTTAACCACCTAAAAAGTATAGTAAGTGTGCTAAAAAAAAAAAAACCCACATCTTATTGTGGTTAGCAAGTGGAATTTAGTTACTGCAAATATGGTTGTGTGGATGCAGCATAATTAGTCTTGACAATTGTTTTTAAAGGCTGTTTTACGAGTTATATCCCATCTGCATCTAGGTTACTAGGAATCATTTTTTAAAAAGGGATTTCTTAACACTGCTGAAAATATAGATGTGACCCTAACATACTAAGGAACAGACTTTCAATAATAGTGCCTTGAAGTAGATAAGTATCTTTTTTTTGGTTTTAATTGTCTGTTCATGAATCATAGTTGGGAGTTTTTCAGAAGGTCTTTTATACGTATAAGAAATAAGAACATGTATCACCATTAGTTTATACACCAACTAGGCCAAAATTTCACACTTAGGCATCCATAAATCAGATATTTGGCACGGGCACAAGGCCACTTAGATACAAACTGTAAAATCTTCAGTTGCGTGCATGTACCAGTTGCTATTATACATACATTAGATGTTCACAGACTTTTTGGTGGGTACGTAGTTTTAAGATTATGGGGTGATTAGTTCACATTATTTTGTGTCTTATTTTTGGTAGACATTATTCTATGGGCACAGGTGGTGGATATTCTTAGTTGAGGCATGTTTAAAAAATATAAAGCTTTGAGTATCTTGCACAATACTTTGTATAGGACACTTGAAACTCACTTTCATTCCATATTCTTATAGATATGGCCTTCAGAATGACTGACATTCAGAATACCCAAGCTTGGTAGCTTAGCTATTTTTGGATATACAAGTGTTTACTCATGTAAACACAAAGCTTACCACTGGTCCACTATTCCACAGTGTCACATCCATATATTTGCACACACTCCAAAACTTTGTTCTAGCATCAGACTAGATGACAGGATGCATTACTGATTCAGTTAGGAAGTCACCATAATTTAAAGATCTACTAAAACAATGTATCTATTAACTGAGGAAGCACAACCTAGGAAAATGGCATCTTCAGGAGAGTGTGGTTGACTCAATAGAGCTATGGGATAGGAGTAAATTTACACTATGTCCAAGTTGGAAGGGTTGGGGTCCAAATGAGGCACCCCAAAAGAACTGTGAACCGTGTGGTTCTTTCACTGTCATATGAAAGAATCAAAAATACATGAATCTCCTTCAGCGGATGCTCTTATAGTGACATCACCCATTCATGCAGACATAACATTCTACTAAGAGCCCAAAAGGACACATGAACAGGTTCCACCAGTGGTATTACTGATCCTTGCCTCATGGAGACAGCTACTGTATTTTAGTCTCCAGTGAAACAACCTGTGACATGAGGTAAAAGTGACCCATCTGTATAGTTTGTATATCAACTTGTAAAAGCACTTTCAGCCCCAAAGTGCTATGTAAAAAGAAGTAGAGCTCAGAGCCCTGTAGTGCATTAGAATATTGGTCTAGAGATGTGTAAAATTATGTTCAAAATCAGGCTAAGCCTGCCAAGCATTGCTGAAATCACTCAATCCCTTTCTGGGCACATGGCTCTATTTCATGGTGTCCATGCAAAAGCCATCGAATTTCACGTTCTCCACCCAAAATGGCAGTTTTGGCTACTGGTAAATTTTAGCCTGAAATCCAAATGAAAGTGAACATAAGAACGGCCATACTGGGTCAGACCAAAGGTCCATCTAACCCAGAGTAGAAGTGGCTTGTACTAACCCTACCAAAACCACCACTTTTGGGCTGGAGGGACTGGAGGCCTCACTAAAGGCCTGTGGAGGAGTCTGGGTTGCCCTTGTGTTCAGGCTTCACCCGCGGGCCTGTGGCTGGGTTACTAATGGTAACGCTGTTGCCGTCGGAGCTGGAAGGGGCGCTCAGCACAAAGTGCCACCACCCCAAGGGCACCGATGGCGCGGAGAACATTTCCACACCCCCTCGGGCACCTGCCCTGTGCGGGTCTCAGCACCAGCCCCTCAGGGTACCTGGGTCCCATCGCCCCCACTCCCAAACACCCAGCCCAGGGGCCTGTACCCTCCGCAGGGCCTCCTTGGCCCGGACCAGGTGCCCTTTCAGGGCCTTCCTGCGGAACTCGTGCAGGTTCTCGAAGTACTCGGCCTCCTGCTCCTGGTCTTGGGCGAAGAGCGAGTCCAGCACCACCCTGCGGCCGCACAGCTCCAGCGCCCAGCCCAGGTAGCGCTCCAGCCCGCGGCACAGCGCCTCCAGCTCGGCCTCCTCCGGCATCGGCCCGCTGGGGAAGAGCAGCGTCCACAGGCTGCCGCTGCTCTGGCCCGGCAGCACTGGGGGCAGCTGGGGGAAGCAGGGCTCCAGCCGCTCGCTCAGCGCCGCCAGCTGCCGGTGCACGCCCAGCAGGGCCTGCGCCGAGAACAGGCCGGCCCAGCTCTGCTGCTGCTCGGGGGCCGGCGTCTCCTCGCCCCCTTCCCCGGCTGCCGGGCCGGCCGCCCCGCGCTGCTGCTCCTGCAGGGTGCGGTTGTGGCAGGTCACCGCGAACTTGCTCTCGATCTCGTTCCAGCCCACGAGGAAGCGCAGTTTGTGCGGCTCGGGCTCGGCGAACGCGTTCTCCCGGATGGCCACCCAGCCCTCCAGGCTGTCGGGCTGCGGCTCGGCCTCCATGGCCCAGCCCGGGGCAGGCGGCTCAGAGCCCGGCCCGGCTCCCGGACCCGCCGCCCGCGGGCTCCTCTCGCTGCCCCCCCAGCTGGCCCCAACGTTCCGCCCCCCGCTGCTGGGTATCACCCGGAGCGAAACAGAAAGTGACATTTCTTAAAGGGCAGCGGAGGGGGAGGGGGGAGGGGGAAGTATGCGGGAGGGATATACGTCACCAGAGCCCCTGCTTTTGATTGGTTCCTTGGCCTGGGGGAGGAGCCAAAGAGTTGCCCCAGGAAGTGGAGCCCATTGAAAAACAGATGCTCCTGGGAGGCGTAGTCAGCCTGTGCCTTTAAAAGGAGGGGCCGCGAAGCGGGGAGAATTGGTCCCGCTTGAAGAATATAAACACACAGGCATGCACACGCCTCTCCCTCTTCAATGTAGTTAACGTTCCCTGATTTAAACCAGAATCAAAAATGCAGTTGATATGAATAATTAGGGTGACCATACTATGCTAAATACAGGACACCGGGTAAAATTACTCATATTCAAGTGCATTCAATGGCAATCAATCAGAGCTATGCAGTAGAAACGTTCAAATTAACATCAAGTTAACTGAGCCCCTGACAAAAAGAAATATGGTGTAGTTGAATTCTTTTTATCTACCTTCTTATCTGTAAGGCTTTAGGGTTCACAAGGGGACAGGTGACACACATACCTACCACCTCACACACACACACACACGGGGAGCGGTTACACACAAATACTCCCGTACCCCTCTCTCACATGGGGGAGTGACCAACCAACCCGACCCTCCCTGCCTGGCACTCTCTGTTCTCCACGCCTGGCTGGGATGGACCCGCCTCTCCTGGTACCTGGCACCGTGTCTTCCCAGGGCAATATGTGGGGCCGCGGGGTGGGGGGGGCACATAGGATCACATGCCCCTGCCCAGATTTCTGTCAGGGTTCACATCATAATGTGGCCAGCAGCAGCCTTTCGGCACCATACAGGAGGGAAGGGACAGGAGCTGCTTCCAGCTGCAGGGAGGGGGGGTGGGGGGTGGAAGGGATGGCCTGACCCATGTCTTTGCAGAGCTCATCTCTACTCTCCCCCTCCCTTGTGGCTGGAAGCAGCTTATCCCTTCCTGCCCACACAGTGTGGAAAGGCAGCTAACATCTCCAGGCTACTGCTGGCCACTGACACAACCCAGCCACCTCCTGTCCCCTGGCTACAGCACGGGCAGGAAGGTGTTAAGCCCTAAGGATGCATTATGCACCAGGGCCCAGGGAACCTGACTGCAGGGCTTCAGCGAACATGGCCAGAGAGGTGGCTCAGCAGGGGCTGGTGCCTAGGGGATGGAACAGCCCCGTGCTCCCTGGGGGCAGGACCCAGGGTGGGGGGAAAAAGGTGAAGAGTGTAATAAGCCCCTGCCTGGGGGGTTGCTGTGGAGCTTGTAGGTTTGGGGTGTGAACAGGCTGAGGGGCGGAGAGGCTTCCATGTACCAGCACTGTGTGGGACATTGGCACATGCAGGGCTTGGCTTGTCCTGGCCAGCGCCCTGGGCAGGAGGGTCTTGGGCTTTCCCAGGGCACCGGCCCAGTCAGAGGCAATGAGGGAAGGAAGGAGTCTGCCAGCCAGGCTGTTGGTGAGCTGAGCCCTCTGACTAGGGGCTGGTTCTCCGCACAGCGCTGGGAGCAGGACGTGCCATACCGGGGGCGGTGAGGATATAGAGGAGGAGCAGGGCGGAGGGCAGGCAAAGGGGCAAAGCAGGGAGAGGACAGCGAGAGGGGGAGCATGTAAAGAGCCGATGGGTGGGCAGCAGAGGCAACATGTAACCGGTTGCCGCCTCCCTGCACTCACCAGCCACCGCAGCTCACAGCACGCAGCCAGTGCTGACCGGAAACGGGACAGGAGCGAGGCCCTGCTGGCCGAGAACCAGCACGCAGTGGGGGCTGCACTGACGGACCAGCAGAGGAAGCTGCCAGTCCCATGTGCTGCAGCTTTGCCCCGCCACCCCAGCCTTGCACACCCACCCCCCTTGTCCCCTACTCACCACTGGTGAGTGAGCGGCTCGCGAGCAGGGATCCAGCCAGCAGCAGGATCTGCCAGTACTGATTGGGGGGGAAGGAGGGGGGACATGACAGAAAATATGGGACAATTTACCCGTTTTTAAGAAAAAGTCGGGACACCTGCAGAAGGGCTTAAATATGGGATTGTCCTTTTAAAAACAGGACATCTGGCCACCCTACGAATAATGCAAGCACCTGCAGTTCCACAGTACAGTCACTGTGGCAGTGACTGAGCAAAAACGATATTCAGTTTAGGAAACAGATTTTCATGCTATGCATTGTGAACTAGTATGCCACCGAGAATTATGTTAATGTAACACTGAGAAATTATGCTCAGTCAAGAATCATGAAATACATACTCACTTCCACTATCACAATATCTTAGCATTAGTTTGCCCATAGTTGAAACATAGCCATCTCTGGTTCCGGGCTCATCCACTGCCTCAGTTTCTCCTTGAATGGTCATCTCGCCGTCTTCCTCTCTAGTATTCTACCAGCTTTCCCTTTGAGACAAGTAGTAGGCCTTTCAACAGAAACTATCTAATCTGTTTGCCCATCACTGTAGTATTTGAGACCCAGATCCTCCAATATATTTAGATACCTAATTCCCCTTGCTTTTAATGTTGTTGTAGCCATGTTGGCCCAGGATATGAGATACTAGGTGGGCCAGGTAATATCCTGGTGGTGGAATAGACAAGTTTTTGAGCTAATCCTAAAGAATAATCCTAAACCTGAAAGCTTGTCTCTTCCACCAACAGAAGATGGTCCAGTAAAAGATACTACTTGACTCACCTTGTCTCCCTCATTGATTTCAATGGTAGTTAGGCATCTACATACCATTGAGGAACTGGGCCTGATTGCTTTCCACATAAAATTAATAGCAATTGTGAAGTCAGTAATGGAGAGAGAGCAATACACTTTACCCAGGATATGTGATAAATATAATTGCATAGATAACTGATACTTTACTAATAAAAATTACTAATTCAAAATGCATTGTCATTTAGACATAGAAGAGGAAATATAGAGCTGTGTAGAAGTGTATAGCAAGTCTAGAACCTGATTCTGGAAATAATGGGACTAGTTAGGTGAGTACAGTTGCTGACATGTGCAAATGTTTAGAAGGTTATGCTCTTCAGTGGCAGTCATACACCACTGCTGCGAAGTTATCAGCTCTTATAAATTAAGGCTGGTTGGGCAGGTTCATTTGTTGGATGGGAGATTACAATGATGTAGTCGCAATTCAGCACTATTTTCTCTCAACCTGAATGTCTCAGCACGGTGTTAAGAGGATGCTGCTACTAGAAATGGCAATTTTTAGATGAAAGATAATACTGGGCTGGGGTCAGAATGATGGAAAGGCTGATAGTACTTTGCCCCCAGCCCCAGAGCTGCTAAATGTTTCTGCCAAAATTAGCAGCAAAAGAGTTAACAATGTTGATATTTAAATTGTCATCATTAGCATTCAGCATCAGTACCCCTTTGATGTAAAAGGAGGAAAACCACACCCCTCTTAGAGCTAGTGCCCCTATCTACCGCTCTGTAGACCCAAACAGCACTGCATCAGTTCAAATTCTGAAGATTGTCTCAGCCTTCATAATTTAAAAGGGAAGCATAAATTATAGAGAAACTAGGAAAGTGCCGGACACAAAACAGTGAAGGGATCAAGTGAGAAGAGCAAGTATAGAACTTATCTACTTTCAAATGGATACATTTACCTCATAAACAAAACACCACATTTTCCTCCAAATTGAGTAACTTGAAGTATGCAAAAACTGAAACAGTATGCAGGTGAAATGCAGCTCTGTGCAGAGGGTAAGCACAAGGCTTAACTCCCACTTACAGCTCCTTTTTTAAAAGGTTAAGTAGGACTTAGGTAGTACAGAGCCCTGCTGTACACTGGTGAATTGCAGCAAATATTCTGTTGTGGCCTCCTAAAATAAGGGCATGCGCCATCAGTGCCAGTTTTGCACCAGGATAACCCTGGGGGGGGGGGGTATTCCAGATTTACACAAGATAATTGAGAGCAAAATTTGGTTCTAATTTGAAAATTAATACAGACAATCTTGTCAAAATACCGAGAATGGCTGCAACTAAGGCTACACCATTCATGTGGAAATATTTCCTCTCTGACTTCAAAAATAACAGAGGAGATGCCAGGAGTCTATGCAGAATGAGCCTGGCAGGGCCGGCTCTGGCTTTTTGGCCGCCCCAAGCAAAAAACAAAAAAA